TAACATCTGAAAGAGGAGTTCTCAAGGATTATCGACAGTATCGGCGAAGGTGGGCGGATGCAAATTATCAGGAAACAACACAACATTGTTTCAGGCGTTGTCACATCATATTCCTTCATTCGATTGAATTTTTGTATAAAATATATAATTTATTAGGTATGAGTAGTTTTAGATTGTTACAAAAACTGTCATTGCTTCATGAGTCTAGCCCAAAAAACTTTGTACAGTCTGATTATGATTATTATAGAAGTTATTTGACATATTCAAAAAATTTAATAAATAAAATTAAGGTAATTGTACAAAAGTTGAACAACTCTAATAAAATTGAAATAATCTTTTAAATATGTTCAACATAAGTAATTGATAATTATAAATGTAATTTATTATATTTCGATTATTTTCTAAATTTATTTTATTTAAATTTGCTTTGTATGTGAAAAGATGGAATATTTACAGAAATTACTGTATTTTTTTATGAGTAAAATGAGGAAAGTCATGAATCTGACTTTTGTTTTTTAAAAGTAAAGCTAAAGTCAAGGCTTTGAATTTAGTACAGATTTGTTTAACAAGTAAACATTTCTTAGAACGATCAAGGAAATATGAGAAAACGAAAACTAATTAACTTTTATGTGCTTTTATTTTTGATTTCGTGAAGTTGCCAGCAATTTAATTCTTGCCGGTTGCTATAACTTTTCTTGCTTTAACTTCTACTTCATTTAATACGAACAATTATTAACAGAATTGGAAATTACCACTAGGTAATAATTATTTTTTCAATTTAGAATATAAATTTAACTTATTATTACTAAAATAAACTAAATAAATATCACAAACTAAATAAATATCAAAAATTTGCAGTAAATTTATAAAAAAAAACCAGGTAAACTGAATTAATTCAATTAAAATATAGAGCGAAGAATATAAAAATATTATTTTTTAAAATGAGTTATTTGAAATGATGTGAAAACATTTCAATGCATGTGACTATGAACAAATGTCAATTGAACTTGTCCCTACTTACAGAACTTATTACTATATTGTTAAACAAGATGTTTCATTTAACTTCGGATTGAAATATATCGAGAAATACGTATCGTACGAAAAAATGTTTCGAAATTTGTTTATTTTATTTTAGTAATATTAAGTTGCTGGCAAGTTTACGATCACAAAAGTTAATTATTTCCTTTCTCTCATATTTCCTTGATCGTTTTGAGAAATGATTACTTGTTAAACAATCTCTACTAAATTCAAAACCTTGATTTCAGCTTTACTTCAAAAAACGAAAGTCAGATTCGTAACTTTCCTCATTTTACTTACAAAAATACAGTAATTTCTGTAAATATTCCATTTATATCACATACGAAGCAAATTTAAATAAAATTAATTTAGATAATAATCGAAATAATCAATTACTTATGTTGATCTTATTTAATTTAAAAAATTATTTCAATTGTATTAGAGTTGTTTAACATTTGTAAATTACTTTAATTTTATTTATTAAATTCTTTAAATATGTCAAATAACTTTCATAATAATCGTAATCAGAGTGTACGAAGTTTTTGGGATAAACTCATGAAGCAATCACAGTTTCTGTAACAATCTAAAACTACTCATATCTAATAAATTATATATTTTATACAAAAATTCATTCGAAAGAAAGAATATGATGTAACAACTCCTGAAACAACGTTTTGTTGTTTCATGATAATAAGCATCCGAACACCTTCGACAACACAGTGTATATTCTTTGGAAACTTTTTTTGAGATCTTAAAGTAACTTTTTAGTCCCGTTCACGCCAAATAGGAATATCGCTTGTTTCTTTCCATCAATGAAGTTTTACCGATAAGGAGATTCGCGTCTGACAACGAGATGAAGACGGAAGTTCATTCCTTGCTCGTAGCTGAGTCGACATCATTTCTAATGAGACAGTAGGAAAGTTAGTTAAGAGAAGGGTATAGTGTATTGAACAGCTGGAAGATTTTCTCGAAAAATGATGTATTTCACTTTTCTAAAAGTTGATTAGTTAAAATAAATTCTAGACTATAAGCACGGATCAGTTTTGACTCAACCTCGTTTGATTTCTGAATAAAATTTTTACGTTTATGTCTTCGTAATCTGAACAAATTAAAATGTTTAACGTGCATTTACAGCAAAATTCTTTCGAAAGTACTGTACATAAGTGAAAACATGTAATAAAGTTCAGTATTCGAAATTTATAAATATATTTATTTAAAAATATTAATCAGTAATGTTCAAAAATTTAGATAATTACAGAAATGTCTTTTCTAGTATCAATTTGTTTGATTGATTGTTCGATTTGTACAAAGCAGAATTAAATGCTAACTGGAACGATTAAACTCGAGACAATTGCACATTAATTTTCTTTAATATTTTGTATCGTCACAAAATCCTATTTATTAGTTTTGTACGTTAAAAACAAATTGTTGCTGAAATCACAACCGTGACTTTAGCTTCAGTTTAAAAATTACTTCATTTTTATAACTTTCCTTGTATTGTTTCGAGTTTTATTTATGACAGATAATAACTTCGACATTTTTTAAATACTTGACAATCAAAGGTAAGAAGTCTATAGCGAAAAAATCGAAATACAGTAAGTTATTTTCTTTATACATTTTATTTCAAACTTTATTTTACTTGAATTAATTAATGAGAAGATTAGCTCAATTATTTTATATTTTAATTTTTATTTATAAAGAAAAGACACTGTGATGATTATGATTTTTTCAAGTATCTAAATTTAAACCGAAAACAAAAACAATAAAAAAATCAAGTACAAACTAAAAGTGAATTATTATTTTTTTTTGAAAAACTCTCTAACTCGATATTTCCTTAGATTTATTACTCAAGTTTCGAATGTATTATTACCTGAAACTGTGTTTCCTAAACATTTTTTATTCATGATTTCATTTTATTATCAGCATTTTTTCGCCACCCAGGATCGGGTGTTCTATATAAAATAAATACAAAGAAATATTGCCCTTGACTACTTGATTTAATTGCAAGCGGAACAATATACATACATACATAAAATTCGGTTTTAGGATTTGATTTAAATATTCAAATATTAGTGAAAATAAATTGCGGATTAATGAGATGAATGCGCTTCTTTTATTTGCAGATGAACAATTTAAATGTAGGTGCAATATTTGACACTGTTAACCTTAAGCATCTATAGCAGTTTTCAACGTTGAACTATATACGGATTTAATAATAGTTAACAGTGAAAAAGACGTTTCACATAAATATTTAGTACTGAATAGCAAAATAACAATTAACGTCATTTCGGAAATTGTAGGAAATTGAACTTCTCCATAATTGAGTTAAAGATTTTTGTTGAAATTATCGTTTTAAGTTAGAGACATTTGACAGCTCAGCGAATTCCTCTTGGATGTTATATGACGAGTGATTAATTCTCTATCATAAATGTTAACTAAAGCTGTGATTACATCGGATTTTATTATTAGTGCGCTTGTGTGGAGCATCGAGTTACGTATTTTCCTTTGTTAAACAAATTATACGCCGGATTACAATGCGTCCCAGCAATTATCATGCGCTCGAATGTATTTTTTAATATCTGAGTACAATTTGCAGGGCGATTGCCCAGTATTACGCATTTATAACTCAGTTTCACAAAAGATGTAACAGTTTTAATTAACGATAATAAAAAATCGATTAATTTTGCTTCAAATTCAATATTTTAAATTTAATTTTTGTGACCGCAGCATTTCGCTTCGCCACCCCATTGAGAGTCACCATCCATAGTTTAGGAAATACTCACCTAGAATATCGATGACGATTTTTTTAACCTAAGCGTAACTATATGAGAAAGTAACCGAAAGTTGTTCGGGTATTTCGAAGAGAAAAGTTATGATATTTTCTTATTATATTGAAAAGCTATTATTCTTTTTACCATTAACGAATCTGTGGCTCGCCAGCTAAACTCGTCTTATGTATAAGCTACAAATCGTGTCGATTATATCAAGTTGAGAATATTCTGACACCGAATCTCTAAAATGTAGGATATGGATGGCTCGAATGTAACAATTCTGTTCTACTTGTGCTTTGTTATCTGCGTAATTGGATGCAGTACTCGAAACATTTATTCCATATGTTATTTTTTGCTTCAGCACGTATGATAACAGTTTTTATATGAATGATGCTTAAAAACACCTAATGTATGAACCTTGCAAAAGACAGGGCAATCTTATTTTTCTGACTGTTACAACGGAGATTATCATCCATTCGCAAGAGTGAGAGTTCGCGGTGCCACGTGAGGTCAAGAAATGTGTTGCCGAAACACAGTGTGGGGTGTAGCTTGCATCAGTGCCCCCGCAATTCGTGGCACGTACTTGTTTTTTGTCAGAGCAACGAAAATCTTAACCGGGTCTGGTGATCAAACGTTATGCTCCCAAACCATCATGCTCTGTGTGTCGCGGGAGTATAGTAAGTATCTTTTCAATATCATATAACAATAAACCTAATTGTATTTAAAATAATATTTCCTAATTATATAAGTTTTAGAATAATATTTTTAGATTATCTTTTAATTAAAATATTTTGTAAATAATTCAAATTCTAGGTTAAATTATAGACATGCGAGAAAAAATCATTACTGCACTTTTGGTATGCTGTATGACGAGTTTAGACGTCAAACATTGGCACGTGTCATAGAAACTCTGATTTTAATTGGCATTTTTCTATTTTAATAGCTTTACAGATGCTAATAGTTTTACATATACAGTAGTTTTACAGATATATATATATATATATGTATATCTGTAGACAGACAGATATATATATATATATCTGTCTGTAAAACTATTAGCATAGAAAATGCCAATTAAAATCAGAGTTTCTATGACACGTGACAATCTTTAACGGCTAAACTCGTCATGCAGCAAACAGAAAGTGCAGTAATAATTGTCTACGTATATATAAATATATACGTAGACAATTATTACCTACTACATTACAAACCGTAGAGCAAGAAGAGTATTAACCATGTTTCTGTCGACTTTCCAAATTCTTTTAAGTTTGCTTATTATATCTCTTCTAGTGATATATTCATTAGGAAAGAAATGGAGAAACAAAAGAAAACGACAGGAAAATTATTCGTCTTCTTCTGCATCTGAAGGTAAGTAAATGTTTGAAACTATCGTTAATTTAACAAAGTAGAACTTTATAACAGTCTTCAGTTAAGTAAATTTTTCTTGGTTTTTTATGAAACATTTGCAAGTATTAAAACGAGGAAAACGAATTTACCTGCAAACTATTTTGCTTAAAATTATAATTTTTAATGCTTAGTCGACAATTTTCTTTTAATAATTGCAACACATCCGAGACAAATCTAAATGAAGAGAATTTTTTTGTGTTATTATTTTTGAATTATTACTTGCTTTGTTTTGCGAGAAATAAAACGTATCGTTATTGGTTTATTTATAAAGATCTGGTTGGGATAATAACTGCATTTATCATTACTTTTTATTTTTCGGGAGTAAAAAAATGATCTGTAAGTAAAGAGTTGGTCCTCGCGCGGTTGATTAAAACGTTAAAATAACGATTGGAAATGGTGGATATGCCGGAATGTCGGCCGTCGTTAAGCCAAAGATAGTTATTGTGATTTGGGTCGTGGCTCCAGATGCCTTCCATGTTGTTATGGTGATCGGAATTAGTAATAGTTAGGAGATTTTCGGAGGTTATAAAATTAGTGTTAACTGTGTTTGGAAGATTGCTATTAGAGAGGTCGTCTGCTTTGTCGTTGATGTCAATACTAACGTGAGAAAAAGTCCAGATAAAGTGCATGTGCTTCTGGTGGCCATAGTGGATGTGTGGTTTGTTATGGATTCTGCGAGTGATGGTAGGGGATTTGTCACTGTAGTTGTTTAAGGCGGAGAGGATGAATTTGGAATCGGTGCAAAGAACGGCACTGGTAGTCGGTAACATATGTGATGGCCTGCAAGATGGCCTTTGGCGGAGAAAATGGCGGAATCCAGCAACTAGTTGCTTAAGGTTCCTGGCAACATTTGGAGGAGCCACCTGTTATCTTATTTTATTTTAAAAATTTTATATTTTTAGCTATTATAAAATTGCAAAAACTTAAATTTTAAAAGTGATTATAGATGTTATAAAAAAATTTTAAATACTAATAACCAGTAAAATCGTCTTTAAGGTCGAGCCTGCTGGAAATACACACAGCCACCTCTATCTCCCTACCCTCTCGACCCTTAACTACCAAAATACGTAGCATCAATCTACCTACAGTAATACGAAAAGATCTCTGCAAAATTTTGGAAGTTATCGACTAAATGCATAAGACCGATAACACGCGCTAACATCCATACATAAAAATCCCCAAATTTTTTCGCATTTCTCGACATTTTTAGGTCCCCGAATCCAAAATCTAAAAATTTTTGGGAGGTCATTTTTTGATCGATCGCTAGTCTTTAAATTGGGGATATACGCTGGGTGTTTAAAAAGTTCCAAGCGGGGTGAAAGTCTGAAAGGTAGAAGCTTTCACATTTTTAATGTGCGAAGACTTCTACCTCTTTTTTGAACTAAAAGCGTGCTAGGAGGACAGAAGTTCGAGACTAACGTTTTCGGAACCTTACATAATGTGAGAATACGTGGGAGCGTTAGTCCTTTAGGTCGTTACAACCCACTAATAATGTGTCAGTGGATGGCGTTGAAGTAAGGTCTTAAATGAGTTGGGAGTGAAGTTGCGAGTAAGTTCGATCAGGGTCCGTATAAATTAAATGAAGAGACATGAGCATTTACAAAAACACATAGAATTTAATATATATATAAAGAACAGAGAAAATAAGCTAACAACTAAATACACTAAGTACACCTCTCGATATTAGAGTGTTTACAAATGAGTTTAAAACGATACCCATGATTTGGTGATTCGGCCTTTGGATATGGAGACGGGAATGATCCGGAGTAAGAGAATCGAAGCTGTATTATGCCGAAACTATTTCTATGGCCGTCTCCCCGATTTTGTGAATTTGATTCCTTTTTATTTCAGATTACCTCCAATCGAGTTTCTGGATTTATAACATCTGACGGGATATTCTATTGTTAAACATGACATTTCTCCTGGCTCAGATGACAGATATTTGTCAGAAAGGTGTCATAACAGTTCTTTAACTCGTTAAGAGCATTTACAATTTTTTTTTATAAAACCTATCCCTACATTCAAATTTAAACTTCTTGCCATTTTATAATAGTTACAAATGTAAAATCTTTTTAGTAAAATCTCATACCAGATGGCGCCACCTAATTTCGACTGCAAAGTTAAGCAACTAGATATTAAATTTTTCTCTTAGTCCGGATTTTATTCAATTCACTTTAAATCCGTCTTTTTGATTTTTCTGCATTAAAACAAAATAGAAGCACTAAATAGAAAAATTATGTTTACATTCTGTAATACTTTAACTCGGTCTTCAAATTCAAGTAATATCTTTTGGGTGAATCAATGTCGAGAAAAGAGTTTGAAGCTAAACGAAAGAAGAACTATTCACAAACTTCATTATCACACCAAAAGTCACGTTATTTTAATTCAAATTGATTTCCTGACAGCAGTTAAAGACATGACAAGCACGACTTCTTTGCTTATTTGAAAAATATGATGTACGAGAACAAGACAGTACTAATTTGAAATAGAAAATATATATTTTAAATTCAATATACAGTAGACCCCTATAAAACGAATTCCCATAATTACGATTCTTATAAGACAGCGAAAAAATTGCGACGGTATCCGTAAAAAACGGTAAAAAAAACTCCTATAATTACGTAAAACGTCTTCGGGCAGCCGAACTACTTTCCGCGCCGTCAAGCGCCACGCTACAGAGAGATTACTATCATCTGTACAGTATTATATATAAATTATATATAAATTAGGTACTGTACATATAATTATATATTAATTATATATAAATTAGGTACTGTATATATAATTATATATTAACTTATTGTAACTTTGTTATAATTAAATATATAATTTCCGCCGTCTAGCGTGGCGCCACGCTACGGAGATTTTACGCTAACTATCGTCTGTACAGTATGTAAATTAGGTACCGTAAGTCTAATACAGTACTGTAATTTTATACATTTCTTGTGAAAGAAACATTTCTTATTCAACGGCGATAAAAATTATTTATATTAATGATGTCTCCAAAGTTCATCGAAGTTTTCGCAGAAAAATAACATCAGATATCGCGGCCGCAATTTGCTGAGTCGTTCCGCGACGAAAACAAGCTTTAGTAATGGCGATGTCGAATGGTGCACACTCGGTAAGTAATCCTACAATTTTTTGTTTATAGCGTAGTTTATACGGATTATTCCCAAAAAAATATACGTATTTTGGAAATGTTGAGTCGGATTAGTCTAGAATCGATTAATTTTATGGAACAAAACCTTTCGAACAGCCGTAGTTCGTAAACTTGACACGTGTCGGGCTGTGAATGGAAGGACTCGTAAGAAATCGGATTCCTAAAGAACGGAACGTATCTACTGTCTTATAGGGGGATCGACTGTATTAAGAAATAATTAAGAATTGCAGCCCGGCATTGTGACAATGTCACAATATAATAATTATCTAATAATAATTAATAATAAAAGAAACTAATTTCGCATGTTCATATACAACTATAATAATATAAAAAGTTCATGAATATTTAAAAACTGATTCACAAATTGTTACATAAAATTTAAAACAAATGAAAGTTATGTAATTTAATGTAATATTTTAACTCTAAAAGTGACATATTCTTCACCTTTTGTGAAAAAGGAAGAAAAATTTCCTATTTAAATTATCCATCCTCTCGCCTAAAATTTAATATCCCTCTATCTAGTAAACAAACGTCCCTACCAAATTTCAGAAATTTTTCGACAGCAAGCACAAGAGTTTCAAAGAGGGTGAACAAAATCGTTCCTGCATACATGCCTACAATAACAGACAGAGAAACACAAGAATGCTTTCTATTTCTACTATTATTTTCTGCATTATTCGACGTTTTCATGTGTCTTGAGTCCAGAAATGTAAAAATTATCGGGGTCATTTTCTGACCCATTGCCATACAATGTTGTGTTCCACACTTACTAGAATGCTTGTGTCTGATGCAATATTCTTGCAGCAGACTACAACATAACGACATAAACAAATATTATCTTATTTAAAGAATAAAATGAGTCCACTCACGCAATATTAATATAGATACATTTAATATCTACATTAAAAAACATTATTGTCACGAATAATTACACGATATTAATACATTTTCTGTCAGATGCCAAGTCTCTAATAAGTTACAAATAAATAATAATGATAATAATAATTACAATAATTTCTTTATTTTTATAATTTTAAATTTTGTTTTAATATTTGATTTAAATAATATGTAGAAATAACGTATTGTTTCAATTGTTGTAAATTTATTAAAGATGAAATAAATGTATAATTTAGATGAGTGAATACACAGCTCTTCCATAATAACACCAAACCGTGATTTTACAGTTTTACTTAACAAAGATCTTCGTCTGCCCTTCTTTTTATTTCTCCATTCCAGTATCAACCGAAAAATATAAATTTGTTAAATTAAACCGAATTTCTTTTCGAAAACATACGCCGGGAAAAATGGTCATATTCAATACAGAATTAAAATTAGTTATATTTATTCAGGTGTCTTAACATGGAAGAAAAAGAGTGACAACAAATCGAGGAACGAAATACCGAAATTCCCCAATTGGCCTATTCTCTGGAATTTGGTTTTCTGTCCAGTAAAAGCGCAAGATTATCGAAAACTTTGTGGCACCTGTAAGTATAATTTCAAAGTATTAAATTATATGTTACGATAGAAAGTTATTATTTACGAATTTGTTTTCGAATAACAATCAATAAAAGTTAATGCCCTGTTTAATAAACTTTTTTTAGTTATAATTCAACTATTGAGTTGTGCGTGTTTGGGATTCATCGAAGAGAAAGTTGTGAAAGTTTCTTGGGGTGGCTATAATTATATTCTATTATCTCACCCCGAAATGGCTCAGGTATACTTGCTTGATGACATAATAAGTGCTTTGTCACGTTAACAATTGATTATTTAATACAGGAAGTGCTAAAGAATAACACCGTAATCAACAAAGATTGGATTTATAATATTCTTCATCCGTGGCTGGGAACAGGTCTTCTAACAAGGTAAAACAATCATCAAATATTTCACATTAATACAAGTAATTTATTAGTTTACAATCGAAACAGTTCGAACGATAAGTGGAGACATCGTAGGAAATTGTTAACTCCGGCATTTCACTTTCGAATTCTCGAAAACTTTCAAAGAATTTTCAACGACCACTCAAACATCTTAATTGAAAAGTTGAAAAATAAAAAGCAAAATGAAGAGTTTCTTATTGACGAGCTAATCAGTCTGTGCACTTTGGATATTATTGGAGGTAAGAATTAATTAAGCAATGTTTACTGGCAGGGAATATTGTCTTTTTACAAGAAGAAAAAATGTTTTTAACATTTGTTTTACATTTTTTTTAACATTTTTAGAAAACTTTTAACATTTTTCTAAAAAAAAATACGGTTCGAAGATAAACGATTGCCATTGCGAAATTTCATAGCGATATTCTGACGCATTAATATATTGGAATGTTTCATCTTCATAATCATGAAAAGGAAACCTTTCTAATTTCTTAAAGGCTTTCCTTTTCTCAGTACTTTTTCAAATTGAGTCACATTATGTTCCAAATTTCTAACGGTTAATACAGACAACTTTACTAAGAAAAGTGACAGATTCAATATGTTATTTAATAAATATACTACTATTATTTACAGATTCAGCAATGGGAGTTCGATTCAACAATCAAGATAGAACTGGTACTGATTATGGCGTTGCCATTAATGAGTAAGTTGATAAGAAATATTTAATGACAAATCTGAATAGAACTTTTTTATTCAAAACTATTTATAACTCGCTTTTGAATAACTCTACAGATTTTCTAGCTATCTTTTTCAATTTTCATGTAATCAGTATTTTCGTTTCTCTATCGATTATTGTACAATAGCCTCAGCTTTTCCATTGCACAATTGCAATAGGTGGCAAGATGTCAAACGACCTTGTAATTTTAATTTAAATTGTGAAAGGTTTTCATAGCATAAATAGAATTTTCCTCTAGATCATTAGTAGTTTCATGCTATTACACACTTTTGCATACGATACAGATTCCTTTATGTGCCCTGTGGTTCTTTAAAAGAAACGAAAGGGTTTCTATTTACGCATACAATGCAATCCTTGCTGCCTCTTCCATAAGGGATAAATACACAAAATATCTTCTAAATACGATTTTACATTCAATGGCGCAGTTAAGAGTATTACTATAACAGTATCACAAACACACAAGAAATGAAGCTGGCTCCAAAAAGTGAAATTTTTTTATCTTAGCTTTGCATAACCCTGAAATTAATGGGCGTATTTACAATCTCATCATCAATTCAGTCAGACGTTACTGGAAGTGACGCAACTGCTGGCGTTTATGAGAAAAGACAAATGCTGTCTGCCTGGATATCAGAAAAAAAGGAAAATGGCGAGAAGGAATAAACAAATGAAAATTTTGTAAATTTCTGTAAAAGCTAATAATAAATAAATCAATCTTAACATTACACTTTAACAGCTAACACTTTTAAGTCATGTCTAACATAACTATATTAGTATATTAAAGTATTGTAATGATGTACTAACCCGATTTTATTTATTAGAGTACTGTACATCCATCAACAAATAAATTAAAATCGACATTGTCAATGCAAAATAGTTTTCACGTGTCTCACGATGTCTGTTGGCATTGTAAAAACACAATTGTAGCATAATGGCAGCTACCAGAAGTTGCTTGAGATTTAGGAAAATGATGCTGACAGGTCCTGCCAATGCTCTAATATTTCAAATACGCCCAATAGATTTATCACAAGTTTCGTTAAGATATACTTTTACAGATAAAAACTGTAACAATGAGTAAGAAAATTAAGTTCAGCTGTCAAAATCATCTATTTATCTTAATCTAATGAAGAAAAAGTATATTACAAAGTATAAGAAAAATTTTTTGTTTTAGGTTTAAATTTTTAAAATATTTTTAACATTGAAACATATTTCAGTTACTTCAAGCATTTATAATATACTACATTATGTTTTATAATTCAGTATAACATCCGCAGTTATTCAATGGTTCACGAAGCCTTGGTATTGGTTCAGTCCCATTTTCAACCTTAGTCCATTAGGGAAAAAATTTTATAAAGATATTGACACGATTCATGAATTTGACAGAAAGGCAAGTACATATCTTTTTATTTGTAAACTATTTACGTTGTTAATTAATGAATGAAAACAATTCAGGTAATTGGAGAAAAGAAACAGAAAATGATCGAAGAACTGAAAGACAATCAAACAATCGACAACTTTCAAGAAGAAAATGAAGTTACAGCAGTAAAGAAGAGGCGAGCATTTCTGGATTTACTGCTTTATCATCATTTAACGGATAAAAGTCTCAACGAAGAAGATATCAGAGAAGAAGTTGATACATTCATGTTCGCAGTAAAATCAGTTTCATTTACTAATTTAAGAAAAAGATAATCGGGGGTATATTAAAATTGTCTTTTTGTTAGGGATACGACACAAGTTCAATGGGTATTAGTTGGTCCCTTTATCTACTCGGATTGCATCCCGATATACAAGAGAAAGTTTACCAGGAGCAGGAAGAAATTTTTGGTGAAGACACAAATAAATCTATTACGTCCGAAGACCTTAGAAAAATGAAGTATCTGGAATGTGTTGTCAAGGTAACACTTTACGTTTGAATGCCTGGTTGAAAGATGATATTTAGACATTTAATTTATCAACAACCGTGAGACATTTAATAGTGAGGGCTTAACCAAACCGATGATGGGCAGAAACGATCCGGAATCAAAGTAAAAAGTTTGATAAACACAAAAACGACTACATGGGTATGGAAACGAAAAAGTTTAAATGCATTTGTTGGTATTAACTAAAGGCTTTAGTATATTTAAAATTATACAATGTAAATGTAAATCTAATACAATGCTTAAAGCTGTACAATATAATTATGAAAACGATATTATAACTGTATGAGTAGTAAGCATTATTAGTGTAGACATGTGTAATAAGCTGGTGCTACTTTTATCGATTTTACTCGTAATCAGAAACAAAAAAAAAGGAATCTATTACTATTGTTGAAGTGTATCTGCATATACTTATGTATCTCTGAGATGAATTTCGCAACTTTTTTTATATTAATAGAAACTTTTTTGTACCTTAACAGAAAGTATTTAAGATCATCAAATCTATTTATATTTTGTGAATTTTGTTTGTAAATACAAAAAACATTATGATATCAAATACTCGACAACTATTTTGAAATATTAAAGTAATTTCAGGAGACACTCAGGCTCTATCCCCCGGTAAGTTTCATAGTGAGAAAAAATCCATCCGATTTGAAAGTGGGTATGTATCGTGTTATGAAAATATACACTTACCACCAATGGCATAAATTTCATTGATAACAATTAAATTTTCTTTCAGGTGATTACATCTTGCCGGCAAAATCGTCTCTTGCAGTAAACATTTATGGGATTCATCATAATCCAACGGTTTTCGTAAATCCCGAAGTGTTCGATCCGGATCGATTTTTGCCAGAAAACTGCAAGAACCGTCATTCCTTTGCTTTTATACCGTTCTCTGCCGGTCCACGCAATTGCATAGGTGAGTAACCGCAACCAGAACAAAAGCTTTCCTGTGTTTCTGACGTATTTACCTTTCTTCAGGCCAAAGATTCGCTATGATGGAGATGAAGACTCTTTTAGCCGACGTTATTCGACATTTTCGCGTGAAGTCTTTGGACTACAGGGATAAGATTTTCGAATCCGGTGACGTCATTCTTCGTCCTAAATTCGGTATAAGAATGACTGTCGAAAAACGATAAAAGAAAAAAATATTTTCTGAAAGAAAATATAAAATCTATAAATTAACCAAACAGTTGTTAATAGTATAACTGTTCATGTATTCCAGATTCATGTGTTCTGTTTTATGTATTCCAGATTCTTATCTATATGATAATCCGCGCTTCAAAAGTGTAGACATAATCAGCCTGGCCAGAAAAGGCCAATGTTAGAGAAAAGAAATAGAAGGCGACCCAGTGGCGTAGCGTAGTAGGGGCGGCAGGGGCGGTTTGCCCCGGGCGGCACTTTTTAGGAGGCGGCAAAATTTTACAATAAATAATAATAATATCTTGTAAAAATTTGAACCATTTCATTTCATATTTTTGTCGCATCTACGATTCGGACCGATTGAAATGAGTAAGGGGAATAGTGTTACCATCCGGACAGTCCAGGAATCGACTCACCGTCCGGGAACTATTAATTTTACCCGGCAATACCGTGCGCAGCCTGTCGACCGGTTTATTTTTCATTGGAGATGTATTGATATTGGATATTGGAGGTGTATTCATATACACCTTCAATATCCAATTGAGCTAAGTCATCTAGGTCAGTGGTCCTTAACCCCGGGGCCGCTGACCGGTACCTGTCCGTGGATCAAACGGTACCGGGCCGCCCAAGGAAAATTAAATTATTTACATTATATTTACTATGGTGTATTTGTCTCGGGTTTGTGCGACTTTTAATAGACGACGGAACAACGGAATAAACTGGACATAAGAAACACACTTCGAGTGTCAATGTCTTCTATTACCCCTAGATGGAACTGTCTCGTTGCAAAGAAACAAGCTCAGGGTTCTCATTGATTTAGCGTTCTAGTGAGTTAAAATGTTAAATCACATTATATTCATTTTTTGTGTAATTGTATTTTATTTTGAAGGCATGTTTAAATACAGTTAAATTAAAATTATTAAATTAAATCAATCTAAAATATGAACAATCAACGTCCCCCCTCAGTGAGCCACGGTAAAGTTATCAAACTTTCACCGGTCCGCGGCGATAAAAAGGTTGAGGACCGCGGATCTAGGTTACTTTTGTTACTCCTACCCAAGTCTCCCCAATCGCTAACTGTAACTGATTTAGAACCGGCATGCACTGCACATTATTCTTCGCATTGCAAAATGGCATACGTACGCGTCAGGAACTTCTGTTCGAACAAACCTCACCTGCCATCGGCGATTTTAAAAAGGTGGAAACACAACACGGAATTTTTCATTACTTATTCTATGACGAAACTGAATTTTAGTTTTTTAAATCGATATATCTAAATAAGGAGACGGTGAAATTTTCTTTTCCCCCAAGCAGCTGACACCCACGCTACGCTACTGAGGCGACCTGCAAACGTTGACACATAGTTCTGATTTCTTTCAGGTCTTTTCTTTTCTATATTCTTAAAATGTTTTTATACTACATTTGACATAAACAATTGAACTTTTCTGCAATTTATATTACTGTGATTTATTACGTGTGAACGGTGAATGTCGTCTTCCATTTTTGTCATCTGACATAGACCCTTTCCGTTTAGATTGATTAATGTCACTGTGTCGAAAATAATATACTAATTTTTGTAAGAAATTCTTTAAAATTATATTTTAAAGCGTTTAGTGTATTTATTTACTTTACAACATAGCAGTAAAAATGCTTTTCACGAATTTTGTGTTTGGATTTAATTGCATAATATTTTACACCTTCGAAGAGGTTCGAATTTTTTAATACTTGAAACGTAGAAAAATTTTTAACCTTATAAAAGGCATTTAAAAGTATTTTGTAAACGTAGCGCATTGACATGTTGTGAGCCACTAAACTAGTTTCAATACAAAAGTCAAGCAGTAGTAACACATCTGCAAAACGAACATAACGCAGACAAATTCTTCAGACATAAAATTTGCAGTAACTAAATAAAAAGTTAATACGAGCAATTATTATATTGTCACTTCATCACACTGCCGGGTTCGAATTTTAAATCATATTTTAAATTTATTTTGCTTAAAATATATGATAATTTAATCGTGTATCTTTATGTACATGATGCAATTCCTGTGAGTGTGGTGCCAGTCATCTGTCTAACTCCTATTAGAGGAAATATATGAATCAAATTATCATTCTTTCCGTTACAAACCGAAAGTTAATATATAGTTAATGGAGGCCTCCTTACTTTTTGTTGTATATTTCTTCTCTCCATTGTCATTTATTTAGCTCTATTCTCGAGAATAAGGAGGAACAGTAATCAGAGTGATAAATAAACATTCATTTACACACAAACAAACGCACGACAATCGAAATTTATAAATCAACAATCCCTTTTAAATTGCACCCAGATACATCATTTAAGTAAAAATTTTTCATGGACATTTGATTCCGAATGAGCAATGATTTATTGTGTTTCGCTAATTCTGTTTGTCATCTTCACGATCTCGAAAAACTTCAATGAATTTTTTTATACCTGTTCGTATACAACAATTGATTGAATGCGTTTAATTTTCTTACTATTAAATATTTCTTATAATTTACTCTCAAGTTGAATGTAATACTATGCATTTCATTATTACAAAAGAGGAGGCATCAGGAAAATTGTGTAAACTGTCCTGGCAAAAATGTTTAAATTGTGTGAATTGTGTGAAAAAATAAAGTATTTTCCCATAATTCAAAGCGATCGGCAAATCGCCTTCGTAACACAACTTTCCCGAAACAAACGCTGTTGTCTTGACAATGTTAGATTTGTGGTGAAAAACGTGTAATTTTTAACAATGAGTTACTGAAAAAACAACGTTACAAATTCACTGTTTTGCTTTTATTAGTTTTTTAATCATAAATGAAGTTATAAATGGAACAATCTCAAATATACTTTTCACCGCTTGAAGTGAATTGCAAATCGCCCTCAAAATAGAACTTTCAAACGAGATTTTTACAGTTGAAAAAATAAATAATACGTAGTATAAATATCACTGTTCCTGTTGTTATAACAGAGAGAACAGAGAGAACGTGATCCCTCAACATGATTTTTGCATTTTTGTATTTATGACACCTTAAAACGTTGAGAAACGCAAAACATTTCGTGGATTTTTCTGTATGTATGGATATGTATGCAAATGACTCACATGCAATTTTACACTTGCCCTGATAGTAGAAATATAATCAGATCAAATTAAACAACAGTCAATATAGAAAGTATAGGTAAAATACTTTAAGGGTTGGCAAAATTTTCTTCAATTTGTCAGGCATGAATCCCATAGATTGTTTTGTATAAGATAAACCTTTTAGGACAGAGCCTTAGCAGTGCATAGACCGTTTCTTTAACTCTTTCCAACCTTTGGGCTTTAAGAGGGCCTTTTGTAGCAAGCCCATTATAAAGTTGATCAGGACCACAATGGGGTAGCTGGATGGTGTAGGACTGGGCCCGACATATCCAGACAGACCACACCTCGAAAAATTCCTACGGATTTTTCTACCCGTCCGGAACCGCCTGGTTCCCCAGAGCGGTAGGCTGCCACTTTGACCGCTCAGCCATCAAGCCAATGGATAGGTCTGGGGTCTCTTAACGCCCTCAATCCTCGCAAACATTTGTGTATAGTGGACTAAAAAAGCAATGCGCCGCCAAGAGCGTCAGAAACATTGCTTCGACTCTCATTAGGATCTGGATCGGGGAAACGGTAAAGTTTTAGAACATTTGCACCATGTTTTGCCACACAAGTAATAATTACAACGTTTGTATATGGCTTGGCATTGCCATCAAGGAATATTAAATTTTCTGACGTTATTTTTTTTAGTTCTTTTAGGCCATCATAATTATATTTCACATAGCCTTTATTTGCAACCGTCTGTAATCTTTCCAACGTTTGCTCTTTCATCACCACAAATGATTGCATTTTCGTGTCGTCCAATACGTTAATCGTCAGTTACAGCAATTTGTCAACTTTGAACTTCATTGTGATACTCGTAACATCTTCACTTTGATAGAGCTTCCTCCCTGCAGCTTATTTTATCAAGACGGGCGTTTTTCTGTCGTTTCCTCCAATTTAACGCAAAATTTGATGCATATTCTCTTATCTTCCCTGACAAATTCTGAAGACAGATAGAGTGAGTGTTTGAAACTGTGAATGATAATTGAAGATATAACCTATATTGATATGTCGATTACATACTTAAAATATTTTTATATTTTACTTCTGACAAAATTGCATGTGTCGGCTACTATTTTTGCATTATCTCAGGACTGGATGAGACAAAAGTCTTGAAATTTCACAGCGTAATTTCTATATATGGGGCATTACTGCTATTAAATTTTGGTGGCTACAATTAAGTCAAGAATAAGGAAATTGGAGGCATTCATAAACCATACTTCAAGTGGGGTCAGATTTAATGAAAATTTTACTCCTTATTAGTATATATAATATTTTTTAAAATTCGTCTCTACCGTTAAAATTTAAGTCTTTTGTCTTTTTATAGTAATTAATAATATTAAAATATTTTTATGAAAAAATATGATAACAGATAGCGCCACATACTAGTTATTTACAGTAGAGCGTCGTTTATCCGAATCATTTGAGGACTGGGCTTGTTCGGATAACTTATTTTTCGGATAACCAATTATGTACGTAAACATATATTAACCTATCCCATGTTGAAATTTTTCTTCGTTGCGTGTCGCTTCGCGTTTAATTTTCGTCGATGTTAAGCGTATTGGATCGTTAAAAACTATTTTTTTATTTTGTACAAACAAAATAAATATATTGTAAAATATAAAAACAATAAAAAATTATACTTTAGAAGTTAATTTAGTATCAAAAACGTAAAATATTTGAGTAGCCGAAGACATAGCCAAAAATTACAGCGCCACAGCACTGGCGAAAATTTAAATTTGTCGACTGGAATTCCTTCGGATAACCGACGTTTCAGATAACCGACCTTCGGATAAACGACGCTCTACTGTATTATGATTAATAATATAAATGTTATTCTTTAAATAAAATCTCTTAACAGCAGAGATAGTTGGCAAATGTTGATGGAATTTTTTAATCGTCTAAACAATTCAAAGGATTTTTTCTTTTCTTGTTGTAATTAATTATCAATGAAAGTTCAGAAAATTTTTTATTTTTGAAAATTTCTACGAAATTAAAAGACAATTTTTAAAACATATTCAAACAACAACGTTAATTTTATTCCTATCATGGAGATTGCAGAACATATCAAATTAGTCTCAAAAATGAAAA